AAGGGGAAGTGGAAGCACAGATTAAATAACTGGCCAAGGTCGCACAGAAGTCAGGGAATGTGCCAAGAATAGAACCCATTTCCTTGATTCCCAGATCTCTAGCCCTGAGACTTTGTAAGGGATATTCTGCAGGTACACGTATATGTATATTCAATGCGTAGTCACGAAATAAGTTAGGTCTTACATAATTAAAATATAAGTGCTAAAGACAAATGGTGTTTATGTTTTTACACATGGTTGGTGCCTAATAGATATTTGTGTAATAAGCAGATGGTTGACAGTATATTTAGACTGAATACTGATGATGTGCAAAATTGGTTTGTAAGATGTGAGCAATATTAATGCAATATACGTAGAAGTTTGTCTCTACATATTTTGACTGGTCTTCACAGGCTGATAAAGAAATTGAGTTCACAAAAACTCAATGTTATACAATGTTTTTTTTTTTCCATTTGAGGGGTATAACATAGATGTGTTGCAACTATTCCTGTTATAATTGGTCAGTCTTACTTATTACTTTGAAATTATGATTTGTGATAGTTAGATGGGGAGTGAGAATTAAAGTGGGCTATGACCTAAAGAATGTGGGATCTCAAAACAAAACTGCAATAATCAAAGGTTACAGGCCTTGAACATCCCTATAGTAAAGACCCAAACACATTCAACATTTTAAAAACAGGCCTTTGTTTAAAAAAAGAAGAATAGATAACCTCAGAAACAACCAAGTAGACTCTGGGCACTAATGGGGAGGTGATCTGGGCTAATGGAGAGTGCCAGGAAGGATGATCCAGCAGAAGCCCACTCACCACTTCGTGGTTGTGGGGAAATAGATGAAAACAGATGGAAGCTCAAAGACTGCTCTGGCATAAAAGCCTCCAGTCAGCTACCTGAGAGTCTCCTTTGTATTCAAGCATGCATAAATAAAAGTAGTCTTCCAACATCTTAGATTCTTCCTGAGAAAATATAACTGGTGATCTGGAATGTAGACCAAGTATGCCAAAAGTGTCCTTTCCCCATCCTCTCCTGGGTTCCTCAAATCTACCCTTTCCATTCCCCAGAGAGGGGCCCCTTCACTCTAGCCCTGTATTGTTACTTGTTCCTTTAGAGACCAACCTCCTTGCCATGGGCAATCTTATCTAAATAAGATTTCCTGTGAGAGTATACCAGTACTGTAGCAAAGCTCATCAAGGTCTGTGAAATCAAGAGTAGCTCATTGTTCAGGAGGTTTAGTAGTCCTACATAGTTCTTCAAAATGCAAGGGGGCTGTGAAGTCCTGGAGATCGAATGTGGAGGCCTGGCAGGAGTCAGCTCTGCCACCTGCCACTCTGCCCCACCCCAGCCTTAGTCCTCCCGTGATGAGAAACAAATGAATGGGGCAGGCCACACAAACTGGGAGCATTACTTCATTCACCCATTATATTCTTCTATTTATTCTTCCTTTCAAATCTGCCTGACTCTTTTATAGATCCTTAATTTTCCTTCTGAAAAGTTGTAAATTATATTTTCCTCAATTCTACAGCATTCCTCCCCCACTACTAAATTTCTATTTTTAAAGCACAGCAAAATTGCATTTTACTTTCCATAATTTGTGTTCATTTCTCAGAAATGTCCAGTAAAATTTCTCACTGTTGTGAAACTAGCCCTATGGTAGACAGAAATTTCTTATCAAGTTCCTCAAAAGTTCTTGGGTCTTATTTAGAGAAATGTACCCCAATGCTAGCAATAATTACAACCCTGCATTTCCATGGCACTCTGTACCTTTTCCCCAATACGATAGCTCATTTGATCCTCATATTCTCTCTCTGAACTGTGTATAGTTATCTTTATTTTATATGAACAGTAGCTACAGACATGTGAAAGGTACAATAAGCTTAACTCCCGTATGGCTGCTCCCTAGGTTTATGTCCAGGCTAACATGGAGCAGGTTTGGGAATATCTATTCAGAAGTCTCTACCAGTTGCTAAGGATGAAAACAATCCAAAAATTTCACCTGATTCAGTGTGGATAATGTATTTTAATGTTATTAAACAGTCTAAAGAAATATCCTACTTCTCTGTCCACTTTGCCACCCCAAAATGCAAAAAAGTAAAAGAGAGAAAGATTCTGCTTTATTTCTTCTCGGCTCATTGGTTATATGAGTTGAAAACTAACCATCCTTTCCCCCTTCTCTTTTATTTCTAACGTTTTATAAGAACCAATTCTAGGCAAAACAAAAACTACAATATTGTTCAGTTAAAACATAGCTCACTTGCATAAAACATTTTACCACATTTTTTTAAAAAGTTGAACAGAGGTTCTGATAGTTTAAAAATATATTTACATATTTATTGGACTCCAAGAAACAATATATTTGAGTGAAGTCTGAAATTCTTTCTATATTAACTAATATACATCAACTAGCTGGCCATATTAAACCAATTAATAACTTTGAGCTTCTTAGAATAAACAAACACATTCTAGCCTCATAACTAAACTGATGGTTTGGCAGTAGTCATATATTGATGTGCTCTTTACCTAGACCCTAAAATTTAAATACCAAGAATTACTCAATTTTTGTAAGAGCAATGTGTATATATTAGTAATCCAGTCTCTTCTGATGAAAATGTATAAATGCCACTATGCAAATATGTTACTACATAACTCAAAATAAGTGAAGTAGAACATCCCTTATTCATGTGTCACCAATTAAAATTTCTGTCTACAGCTGAATCTAAGTTAATCTAAGTGTATAAAAATATGTTTACATAAAGAAAAGACATATTTGAAAAATTTTAGTAATTAAAGAGGGCTTCATTTATCTGTACATTTTGATTTTTATCTCCCTGTTAGGGGGAAATAGAGTTGTTCTATTTGTTTCCTAGTATACAAAGGTCCCATTTATATTTCTGAAATACTTCTAAGTCAATGTACTGAGTTAGCCACCAAGCACCAAATCTGGGTCTGACTCAGGTAGGCTGTTCGATCAGTACCTTCTAACTAAAAGAATGACACCTTCTTATGGATATGCACATTTTGGGCAGATAATTTCAAGCAACAGCACAGTAAAGAAATGAAGCAGAATGGAAACAGTTAAAGCTTTCATTTCTGATGTCTTGTGAGTAGTAAAAAAAACAAATGCCTTTAACAGAGATAACTCAGATTGTCAACAAACATTTAAGGCAGTGGTCTGAGTCTTGAGAGAATTCCAGAAGGAATAAGACATCTTCCTGGGCTTTGGAGAGCTTAGTCTATAACACAGCAGAAAGAGTCCACATACCACAAAGAAATAGGAAAGAGAGCTCATGTTTACAAAGTTTCACTTCTCCGGCCTTACTCCCAAACCATATTTTATAAGCATCACTCAAGCTCAAATATATAATATTATGTTCTATCATTCACAATTGTTATTTTCTAACACAGCTACTAGCTCTAATCCTAAATAGTATTGAAATTTTAAATTTGATATTGTCAAATCAAAACTTAAAAGTATTTATAAAAGTCTATGTTATTCCATAAAAGTTCAACTCTACACTTTTATTCAAATCTAATAGCTTCAATTATTTAGTTATTTTTAATTTACTTGCATGGTAGGTTAGCACACACATTAAGACCTTAAAGGGATGGGTCCATAAATATGGGTGCCTATCCCAAATTGGCAAAATAATACAAAATCTCAGTAGATCTCATTGTCTTTTGGGTTAAATATCCACAGTGGTAAAGAAGGGATGCAAGATTTGTAAATTCTCTACATTTCTATTCTTAGAAAATGACACTCAGATGAGAAATCAGACATGTGTGGCAATAGCTACTTCTCAGGAATTCTGTAACACACTAGTAACTTTCCACTATCAGAGTAATACGCCCTAAACAGAAGAGTAAAACTAATGAGATGAAGAGTTGGAATTGTAGGAAGAATCTAGAAAATGTAATAGTCAGTTCTATCTGTTTACGCTAGAATTATGCCTTGTTTACTTTTTTTCAAGATAGTTTTGTTTTTGTTTTTTCTTTTTTTTTTGAATAGCAATCCTCCCAAACACTCTGCAAGTGAAGTTAAAAGCAATAAAGACAATTTTTTGGCATAATGATAATCCTTGGGTAGTTTCAATATCGTGTTGTACCTATCAATTCTATTTCTGTTCTTCAAATTCGCTCCCATGAACTATCATTAGTATCATCCCTCTAGACTAAACAAAAAGGGGAAAAAGCAAACAGGGCTCAGTCACCAACAGGATGCAAGGAAATGCTTCACAATCAACAGAGGGTAGGGCTGTGTTCTTTGAGCAAATACACACTGAGCATCTACTGCATGCTAAACACTGTGCCCTGAAGACACAGAAGTGCTCTCAATTAGCTCATATCTTAGACAGGGACAAATGTATGCATATCAAGTGGCCTACCAATGGTGTGAACAAAGTGCTGTTCACACTGAGTGAGAAATGAGTTTGAATGAGGCAGTCAGGAGGGTTCACAGAGAAGGTGACATAAGAACTAAGCCTTGGGGTTTGATAAAGAAGTACTTCGCATAAGGCATACAGTGGATGGGAGTGCATTATAGACAGATGGAAGAGCATGAGCAAAGCCCAAAAGTAGGAAACAGTGATCATCAGTATCAGGAAATCTTGGGTCATATCCAGTGAATATGAAATGAAAAATGGGAAGACCAGTGAAACTGACATAGTGGTGTAACCCAAGTCTGGGGATCCTCGATTGGGAAACAAAAGACTGGAGTTCTAACCTGAGCTCAAATAACAGGCGCACAGGGCAACCTTAATTCTGTTTCTGTGCTCCTAAAACTAAACTAGGGAGAAAAAATATGACATTGTTAACCAATGGTAGGGTATATTCAGTAAGAATTCAGTAAGAAGTTAGCTGTTGCCTACCTTTTTCCAAAGCAGGAAAAGCCTTTGCCCCAAATATATTGCACATTCTTTCTGCAAATTCGTATCTATGTCTATTAAAGAATCTTAATTCCAGGTGTCAAAAAATATTTGAAAGTTAGTCAAGAAACTAACTGTCCCTACCTTGCGTTGGAATGATTATGGTTACATGGGTGCCACAACCACTTGACTGTAGGTTGAGGGATACCATAAACAGTACAAGTCAGGATTTGTCTGCTGCCCAGTTGGTAGAGAGTTGGGTCTGGAAATGATGACACGGCCTTTTCATAAATCTGGGGTTTCACTGGAAAGGAGATGAAGAACAGGACAGAAGTCAAGAGCTATTCTAATGACTTTCTCCTGAGCCACATATAAAGGACCACATTCTCACTAGTTTTGATGTCTGGGAAACAAACACAGAAACCAAAAACTAGTAACCCCTCACATTTGTCTAGAAAATGCCAACTTTAAAAAATAGTAGAAGTGTTTTGAGAACATTAATAATTTGACTCCACGGTATGTATACTATGATTACAATTATAAAAAATCATATTGCCTATGGAAGATAACAAGCAAACATGAAATAGTTATGTGAGAACAGAAGTGGTTTTTATTTTTTTATCTTTTATTATTATTATTTTTTTTAGTTTTTTAATTTTTTTGGTGGCTGGCCAGTGCAGGGATCCGAACCCTTAACCTCGGTGTTATAACAGTGTGCTCTAACCAACTGACCTAACTGGCCAGACCAGAAGTAGTTCTTAAAATAAATATTTAAAATTTTGTTTTCTTTGATGTTGTTATATTGACTTTTGAATTTACAAATTTTCCTTAATTGTCCCCTTACTGAAACTGTAAGAAAGTATAAACAGTAAACTTACCATTTACAATTAGAGTGGCAGTGAGGTTTTTAAACACATTTAACTGCTTTATGGCCACCAAGATTGTATAATCCCCTGCGTCCTCTGCAGTTACATCTTTGATGATTAATGAATTGCCATGAGCCAAATAGCGAGCAGATTTCTCAGTCACAGGTAACCCATCTTTTAACCTGTGTTTAAAAGGATGATCAGTAAGTCATTTCACACTGCCTCTCAGATATCACTTTGATAACATGATCACTTAAGTTTGTGAGCTGATGTTTATCAGTTTTGAGCCCTTGATCATCAATGTGGTTTTAAAAATTTAGATACTAACTTTTTGGTAACACTTCATATTTACTGGCAAAGAGGAAGAAGTAAACTGAGGGAAGAAAGAAATGTGGTGGCTTTGTAGCCACAGAGATTTTGGAGGCCATTGTGACTTAAGTATTAACCCAGAGGTACCAGCTCTGATTCCACCCAACATGTTTTTCAGAGTTTTCCATGAGGCTCCATCAGCAGTGCAAGGGCCATTGTAAGTCACATCAATTAGATCAGTTCTCCAGATAAAAATAAAAATAGATTTTCCTATTGTGGTCTCATGTGGAGTTCTTATTAGTTACATAAATGGTCACACCAGTTGTCCTTTTCATAAACTATAGTGAAATCAAGATTAGCAAGATTTTTTCCCCTGAGGAAGAACAGTTAAGGCGCAAAACAAACAGAAAGTAAAACCTTAAAGAAAATTTAAAAACATTTTAAGTACAGATCAATGCCCTGGTATCATTCACTTGCATACAGAACTAAGAGTCAGGGGGCCTGGATACTTAACCTGGCTCTGCCACCAACTGTGTGTTGCCACACATGCAACTAACCAGTGTGAGCCTTTTTCTAGAGGTTCTCAAAAGTCCCTTTTAATTCTGAAATTCTATGATTTCATTAAAGTGCACAGTTCTTTAAATGGGCATTTCTAATCTGTTAAGTGTTTATTGTATTCTGTATAAAGGTATAATATTGGAAATGGTATTAGTTCAAAATCCTGCATGTATTGCACAGTCCTGCAAATTCCCGTTACTGGTGGGTCTCACTTCCAAAGCACTTAAAATCACTATGCTATGTTTTGTGATTACAAATATCATCTTACTATTACCTTAAACTATTTCCTATTAACAAGTTGGCATTTGCAAAGGTGGGTTGAATTTTTTTAGGCCCTTGCTACTTGGTACTAAAGAAATCAGCACTAACAGACAAAGGTACTCTCAGGCACTAAAAGAGTGAATGTGCCTTCTAGAGTCATTAAATTACTATTAAATGTACTATTAAAATTAAAAAGTTATTAATAAACTTTTTACATATTATGAAACAAACAAAAAAAAATCCCTTTTCTACTGTCATGGCTTGAAACCATAGCACAAGGTTTAGTTTTTCTCTTTAATTCCCTATTAAATATTTGAGGAAACTGAAGACGAACACTACGCTCATGTGACATTGAAAGCCAAATAAGCTCTGGTTGAGGAGATTCTAAAATGGCACCATTTTTATATTGTATGGATAGTTTTACTAATCAGTTTTGTACTATACCCTTTGTTTCAAATGTAATGACTTGAGCCAAAGATATTGGCATTTAAAAGTAATTTAACAAAATAATTTCAGATTATAAACAGATAACATTGTTTTACATCAGGTGTTGTAGTAGTATTTAAAAAAAAAAAAAAAGAACTGTTTAAGGAGTTTCTGAATATGCTGCAAAAAAAAACTTAATTACTTTAAGTAGGTCCATCCATTTGTCTAGCCCTGCAAATGAATAAGTCTTGTCTCTGTCAATGTTTGTTTAATTTTAAAACAAGACTGGACCTTTCACACCAGCTGTATATAAAAGAACTATTTTCAGCATCCTCATTACAGGAGCCCAGTTCTTCAGGGTTAATAGAGCATGTTACATATTCAAGATGCTTCCTAGTCATTGCCCAACACGTTCCCATTCAGAGAATGCTGACATCATAGGAAGGTTTAGACATGCAGAATTCAGTCACAGTAAGGGACTGACTAAGCTGAAACGAGCACTCAAAAAAGCCTCCTCTCTGGCTTCATCCTGTCACATTATTTCTCTTCCCCTCCAGCCCTCCTCACATTCACTGTCTAGAAATCAATACAGGTTTAGCTCCTGTGCTGTCGGGGGAACTTCTCTTGATATTTTGTCAGGAATTCAAGTCACTGGGCTCTTGCATCTTCCTATTTACAAAGTGTTTCTTAAACTGATATGAAAATAATTATGGTCATACCATACAACTTCTGGTGAGGGAAATGCCTTCACTTTCATAGACAGCCGATAAGACCGCTTGCCCGCTACAGTTTCAAGCACCTGCCGTTTTCGATGTTTCACAGTGATGAATGCTTTTTCTTTGAAAGGAGAAGTGATAAATACATTAGAAAAGAATATATCTATGTAAACAAACTCTCACTGCCTCATTAAGGGAGAGTGTAATCAATGAAGAAATAAACAGCTGAATTATGATTGAGCCTATCAATGAGCCCAAATGTTCATCAATGAATAAAATACTATAAAAGCACTCTAACTGGTGAAGTACTTTCAGATCAAATGGTAGCAACTCCTAGGCACATAAAACAGTGGCAGAGCAACAGAAAGTGAAACATCTTAAATATCTATATCACAATAACAAAAAACTGGCCAATTCAAAATCTACCTGACCCGGGCCGGCCCGGTGGCGCACTGCTACAGTGCGCCGCTTGGGAGTGCGGTGATGCTCCCGCCGAGGGTTCGGATCCCACATACAGACCGGCCGCTCACTGGCTGAGCGAGGAGCGGGCGCAACCCCGAGGGTTGCGATCCCGTTGCCGGTCCCGGTCCGGTACGGGCGCGACACTGAGGGTTGCGATCCGTTGCTGGACACGAAAAAAGACAAAAAAAAAAAAAAATCTACCTGACCGATATAAGTAAGATGGAAGAAAGCTGCCCTAGGCAACTTACTTGATATCAAAAATCAACTGGAGAAAGCCAAAAGGAAATAAAAGGCTATTGATACAATTGTTCCATAGTTTCTGCCTTTTTACACTGTTTTTCTTCTCAACAATGGAAATAAATAAGGTTTTAAAGCATTTTCTTTACAGGATTTGTGTATTGGAATTAGGTAACATTAGGATTCCATGATAGTAAAACCAGGGATAAAATAGCATTAATTCTAAATAATTTATCACACCTACAAATATTTTTGTTTCTCTAATTCATGGTAGTACCTGGGAAAATTTTCCCAGATAATAAAGGTAAAACTGTCCATTTTTTCTGTTTTGTTTATATGGAACACTAAATAATTTCATAAATATCATATGATCTAACTGAATAATTAACCATAATAAACTTATAGAGAAAAGACTCTCTGTCCTACTCAAAAGTATTAAATTTAAGGAGCACTTAATATGATTTGCCTTTTGGCAGAGGGAGTAGGGGACCATGGCAAAGTATTCATTCATGATAATGTAACTCTTAGCCAAAAGAAAATCTACTTGTTTATGGAATCCAAGAATCTGCAATGATTAGAAAGCACAGCATGAGCTGGCAGTGCTGAACTACTGTTTACCATATATATGCACTGAGGTGTTAACAGATCTGAGCGATGGTCCACTCTTCACATGACAAGTATATAGTCCTTTATCTTTGTTCTGCACTTTGTCAATAGTAAGAACACTGTGGAATACATTGATTTGGGAATTGCTTTGGTCAATTCGTCGCCTTATAGAAGCTCTCTTCTTTGCCTAGAAAGAAAATGTGTAACAAATATAGAAGTTGTAATTGTTCACGGTCAAAGTTAAAGCTTTTTAACATTTCTCAGATCATTATTTTTTACAATAGGTTCTTTTTTTATCCTAAGACACACATCAAACCCACCTATAGCAAGATGTTCAGAAACAGTGGCTTTGTCTAGATGTGCTTCAAATATGTAGCACAGTAGCATTTATTTAGCACTCCATCTTCTTCTAATGGACTTTCATGTACATTATCTCCATTGTCTTTTACAACAACCTAGTGAGATTGGTAGGATTGTTGCTCGTTTATCAATGAAGAAACTGAAGCAACAGAGACACTGGCCAAAGTCGGCCAGGAGCTCGGGACTTTTGAGTACACGTCTATTGCCTTTCCTCAAGCTTACACACCTCTCTACACGGAAACCTGTTCTCTAGGCACAGACATCACGTACTAGCATGGGCAATAATTAGCTTCAGTATCTGACTTAATAACAGTGTTTCTCTTAATAAATTACCATGTGAGTTTCCTTTTGCTTTCTTACTAGAAATGAATGAAAAGATGAGTACTGGCTATACCTACTAAGGTGAAATAGTCCTAGTTTCCTTATTTTACGATTTGAGCAGTGCTTGCCAATTTCTGCTAAATCATAGTAAATAGATCTGGGGACATGCAAAGCTATTGACAAATTTAGCCAACACTTGGAGGGTGTTGTCCCATGTTTTACTGAGGGAAAACCAAGAGAAGGCCTTGAGGTTCAGCAGTCTGAACTGGCTACAGTGACCTGCTCCCTCTTTAGAGAAGATGAGATCACATTGCCTTATCCTTTAATTGTTCCTTCTCCTTTTTTTTTTAAGCATTATGTTTTCTAAAACATAATGTTATTTTCTCCTCTCAGTTCTTCCCATGAGGTTGGGGGGTGGGGGTGGAAAGGGGGGTGGGAGAAGAGCAGGGAAAAAAGACTTAGGCTGTCCAGAACTGATCTTTGGGTCTTGAACTTAGCTCTCCTCTGTGGCAGGTTTAATAAACTTCTACCCACCTGTCCTTTTATTTCCCTGTTGGAACAGACACATATTTATGTAATTTTCTTCGTTCTCAGCAATAACCAGAGGGGAAAGTCAGTCACTACCATCAAAAGTTAGAGAGTCATTCCTCTAAAATAACAGACTGAGGAGACGTTTTGCAACTCTATTTATATAGGTATTACTTTTTCCCTTTGAGAACTCTTTCCTTCCCAAGTTTGAGTAACACTGGTTTTGTTTGTGACTTAGAAAACAACCCATCCTGTGTTTTAGAATTGCTTTGTCCTGTGCTGCAGCCACCAGCCACAGGTGGCTATTTAAATTAAAATTAAACAAAATTAAAAATCCAATTCCTCAGTCACACTAGCTACATTTCAAGTGCGCATTAGCCGTAGGTGTCTAGTGGTTACTGTATTGGATGACAGAGATATAGAACATTTCCATCACGTAAAGTTCTACCAGACAGTGCCATATAAGAAGATTATTGGCATTCAATAGATGTATTATCAATACTTTTACTTACAGTAGCAACAGCAACAGGATAAATGTTTCTTTCCTCTTGGCATTTATTGAGAATATTTTATTTGTATCAAAAACCCCAGAAAATATTGCTACAGGTCATAGCATTTTTATTTAAATGAAATAATACCACTTTCTAGAAAATAGTTGATGACTGATGAGTCCTTAATGTGTCCTTACAGGGCACTTGTTACTTCTTTTTGTTGCTAAGTTATTCTAGTTCCATGGCAAGAAATGTTGAATTAAAAACAACAATACCTTGGGGTTGATGCATTAATCTTTCATACATAATTTGATCATAAGTTAACTTTGTGATTGGGCATTCTGGATGACATAACAAATTACTATACTTGGGATGTGCCATATAAATCATATTGACACAAGAAATAGGGGCTGGAACTACTGTTAAAATTTTCTTAACAGTATATCATAGTTTCCCCTTCTATATATTTTCTAAATAGTTATTGTTTGCAAGGATATTCAATTTGAATAAGGGAACATGACTCAGTCTTCATTCTTCTCATTTTTGTAAAAGACAGAATTGTTCCTTTGGCATTTAAATGGAATATTGGATGGCTAGGTTGTAATATCCTTTCCAAACATGCTCCAATCAGTTGCCTGACTGTCTGCTAGTATCTTAAGTGAAAGTGCTGACAAAGACAGTTATTGTTGTTCTTGTTATTGTAAAAGACAGTCCCTGCCTGGCATTAGTGATAATTTTTCTCTCATCTCTCTCATCTCTAAATCCTAGAGAATAGTTTCCAAGGATGAAACAATCCCTTTTTCCACCCAGAATCATGCAATAGAAATACCAGTCTATACACTTCAAAACAAAACCCCCAGACATCAAAAGACACTATCTATGCATATCACGGTCATGAAATGCCAGGCAAAGGAAGCACCCAAACCAAACCCAAAGCTCCTTTGTTGACTAGCACTGCCATAAAAGTCAGAATTTTCTGGTTTTTCCCATCTCAAAATCCCAGTGGGATTTCACTTGCTAAAAACAAATACTGTCCTACAGAAGAAATAGAAAAATGGGTCACTCACTTCACCAGGGTAACTCCAGGTCATTTGAACTCTCGTGTTCAAGGGAGTGGTAGCAGTACAGTTGAGGATGAGAGGATGATTTCTAAGTAATTTGACTGGGCTTGGTGTGCTTATTACATCTATAATTTTATAGCCTGCAAGCATATGAAAAAATTTTTTTAAAAATTGAGGTTTCATTAAGCAGATAAACTATAGAGCATTTGGCTCACATTCATGCTTTTGAGCAGCACTTACTTTGTTGATATGTGAGATAGTGTGTCTTATACAAATGTCCATTGACTGTTGCTTCACAAGTCAGAAGCCCTATTTCTTTGTATGTTGCTTTTGATATTATGAAGCCCTTCCTACTGTCCCAGGTTATTCTTTTTCCATCAGGGATCAGAGTACCAAGTGGAAACTGAAAAAGAAGAAACATGTTTTAACAGAATTCTGTTAGCACTGTGGCAATACAGTTTCACTAGTAGTTTGTGAAAACATAATTTTCATCTAAAATGAAAATAGTACAGGTAAAAACTCTAGTTTGTTGTAACTGATTCTTTAGTTTTCTTTGCATATAGCAAGATATATTGGTATTATGATAAATTATAGTAATTATGATAATTTATTATTGGTCTTGGCAGTAAGTGGCACCTACCCAGGGCAGACCTAATTGTCATGTCAGACTTCCAGTGGGAGCCCGTAATTCTTTGGCCTCTGGGAATCTTCATAATCAACTGGTCTGATACTCAATAGAGAAACCAATTAGCATTTTTCCACTGGGGCTGCCGCTTTATCCTTATGTGTCTTCATCATATGGAGCTTTTGACAAACTATGATTTGTCCTCCCATTTTGCATGGTTTACTAAAGAGGTGTTTTAAAATGACTATAAATAATTCCAGGTCCTCCAAGATTCATAGCATTAACCTGGCACTCACTGGGGTTATCATTCTGAGAATTCTGCTGCATCACAAGTAAGGCATCACCTGTGCCTTTGGGAGGGAAACCCCCAGAAGCTGAAGCCTTGGAAGCCAGAGACACTATTATGAAGTGCTCTTAAAATCTTTGGAATATTCCCAAACATAGTGGTGCAAATAGAAGAAAAGAATCTATGATTTGATTCTCTACTTATGCTTTCTTCTGACATTAAAGACTTAATTTTTAAAGACAGCAATATAAACCCTCTACCTTGGGATTAAACCTTATAAAGGTCACTGCTGCATAGAGTGGCCCAGCAAAATTCCCCTGATGCCAGGTTACCAGCCCAATTTCAGAGGTGGTAGTCTCTAACTACCACTGTTACTTATCCCCAGTTGCTGAAGGAAAAATAAAAATCAGATTACCTTCCCCTAAAGTTTATAAAGCAGATGCTAAACAGCCATAAGGAAGTTTGAAACTTTTCTATCTCCTTTTAAAAAGTACACCTGACATCTCTCTCACTCTATCCAGTTATCATTTATTGATATTGCTTGTTGAAGGAGCTAATCTGCATTTGTGATCCTATGGCAGAAATTTCTAGTCCAGAAGTCACTAGTGCATCTCTCCCAGTGAGCATGTCTATATGGTGTGTGTTACAGGGTTTGAAATTCATTACATCCTGCTTAGAAAGTACTGAAAGCAAACTAAGGTTTCATGTTTTAATAAATCAAGATTCTACCTGTAAACTTACAAATGCTCTGCACTCAGTGGGAAAAAGAACCTTCTCTTCTAATTTAGTGCAAACAATTAAGGGAAAACTCAGAAAAATTTAAGTCAGGGATTAAAATCTATGATACTTTTTTTTTTTTTTTTGTCTTTTTTCGTGTCCAGCAACGGATCGCAACCCTCAGTGTCGCGCCCGTACCGGACCGGGACCGGCAACGGGATTGCAACCCTCACGCTCCCAAGCGGTGCACTGTAGCAGTGCGCCACCGGGCCGGCCCAAAATCTATGATACTTTTAAAATAAATAAAAAATAAGCATGTGCCAAATCTAAAAGAAGAGTTACCTGGCAGACTTCTTGTGCACAACTTAAAAATATGTTAAAATTTCCTTTAAAATATTTCTCTTACTCTAATATATCCATTCCTGCCACTAATAGTATTCCATTGCCAGAATAACTTTAGTTTTAGCTGGCAAGAACAAAAACAGTGATAGACTGTGTGGCCACCACTGCATGTGTCGCAAAGATGCAAACAGATGGGCAGGGTGATATCTCGGGCTCAAAAGAAAGTGCTGGGCTGAGTGGGGACGCCTGTCTCCAGCTGAGGACAGCTCCACCAATGCAGGCATGGGGAAGAGAGAGGGAGGGGATAGCAAATTAGAAGAAAAGGGACAATAAGAGAAATGGAATGGAAAGATATTGATTTTATGCCAACATAAGTATGTAATAAATAGGTTAGAATATTTCCAATATTTATGTGCCAAACCAAAATCCCTGTTAGAATTTTATGCTTTCTCTCTCTCTCTCTCTCTCTCTCTCTCTTTTTTTCTAATTGTGCATTGTAGATCTTTGGTAGAAAAACAGAGCCAATAAACTAGCCCTGCCCCAGATTTTTATATGTGGGGTTTTTGAATGTTCGTTACAACAGAAATCCATCTGCATTAGGGCTTGGATGAAAGAGGGAGAGGTTCCCTATCCCCATGGCTTTTTCCATATTAATCATATAGCAATTATTATCTCAGACTAAGAGGAGTAGTGCCGTGCTATTGAAAACATGACGTGAAAATCAATAAAGTACTGGGTATTAAACTGTTAAATAAATAATACTAATAACTAACCCTTGAATAGGGCTTATTTTGTGCCAGACACCATTCTAATTGCTTTCTGTATAGTGCCTCATTTAGCCTTCCTAACAACCATGTGACACCTCCGAACTCAGGGTCAATAGGTGATATTGAAAACCACTCTTACTATAAAGGGATGGCCGGTTAGCTCACTTCGGAGAGCGTGGTGCTGACAACACCAAGTCAAGGGTCAAGATCCCCTTACCGGTCGTCTTTTAAAAAAAAAAGAAAGAAAATCACTCTTAAAACTTTTCCAACGTGATTAACACCACTATCACTACCAAACACTTCCTGTGTACCTACTATTTGATGGATGTGCTAGGCTGCCTTGGGGCAGCCTTAACTTTTTGTCTTAAAGCTCTAAGCTCTCAGAATTTAGCACAGTTTTCCATTTTGAGAGTTTTATCCAATTCTTAGCCCTCCTATAGTCCTAACTCTTACTGCTAATTAATAAGCTAGACTGTCACATTTTAGTTTTGGTCTTTATTAGATTCTACCCTAAATCTTTTTCCTTTTTCACATGTACAATTTACAACATAATATGAAAAAAATTCTCATGTATGGCTCTTTCCCTTTTTTTTCCCTAAGAGGCTAAGTTTGGGTGCCCAGCAGGAGGTAAGCTTTTTGTCACCAGGAACTTAACTCACACTGAAGGTGGTGGCTCCATATGAATGAAACAAGAGCATGTCAATACCTAGAGAATCAGGCACTCTGCTGACAGCTCTGTCTTTAGCAATAATTTGGATGAACCACTCTCTGCCAAGTTAGTAATTTGTGTAAGCACTGTAGAATTAGTTTTTCTCACATTTGTGGAGATTTGGATGTGAGGCAGTACATAACAATTTTCATGATTTTAGTTCTTTCATTATCACATAGATTTATGCTTAAGATATTATCATTTTATTCTATTTAAATACATGCATGAGTATAACTTCTAGCACTTATACTTTATAGTAAAAGGATGTTAGAGAAAAGTCCACTGAGAAGCTCAAATGTCTGCAAGAAAATTATTCCAGACAAATAAAATAATTAAAACTTCATTATGCTAATTTGTAGTAAAAATATTCTGAGAGCAGCAATGCTCAGTTTTACCTTTTTTAAAGTAACAGTGATGTTAGGTGATGTAACCCGGCAGGGAATGATGACCTCCCTTCCTTCAGTCATATGTATAATTTCTGGTATTTCAGTGTACATCTCTACAAAAGGTTTACCAGTATCTGAAAGAGAAAAAACGAAAGAAAAAAAAAAAGAGTAAACTGAAATGCAAACATCTAGATTCTGTGGCCAGTGAGGCAATATGGGCACTGCCACAGTTACAACGTTCTCCCCTTCATGTAATTCATAAGTTCACATTCTTTGTCTCTGAATTTCGCCCTCTGTGTTTCTGCCCAGAAAAAGAAAGGTTCTCTAATAAACCTAATTTCTTATTCAGTTCATGGCCTTCAATCAGATTGCCCTTATACCCTAATGTACATTGTGATATGGGGTGACCACTGTGGGAAAAAGCCATACGAGTGCAATGAGAGAGATGGAGAATATTGTGCATAACCTTCTTACCAGGGCCATGCTAAGTGCCTCCGGAAGCACCCTCCAGAGCCTTTGTAAGAACTCAAAGGGTGTGTAGATGGAGTGGCCAAAGTCAACTCTCCTTGGAGCATTAGAGATGATGCAGAAGTGTAGCAAGTTCGGGGAAAGATTATCATTTGAATGATAGAAGCATGACTTAAAGTCTTCTAGACCTTTCCTGGCAGACTAATAATGAATCAGAAGGTCTGAGCTGCTTAGGGGGCAGAGGGAGAGGCAGGAGAAGCAGCATTGAATACTGCATTTATTTCATATGCATATTATGTCTGTTTCTTTAGTATGCACTGCATATCTGCTAATAGCAAAGTACCTGCAAGTGCCAGCAAAGAGGTCTGGAAAAGGCTTTAAATAATCACCAAAATACCTCCTTTAAAAGTGTGGTATTTGGCCAGTCTCAGAGTCAAGGAGGATTCAAACCACCCGTTCAGCTTCTCTGCAATTTCTGTGGGGAACCAGAACAAGCATCAGATGCTTTTAGAAACATTCTCACAGTCTACCATTCCCTTGCCCTCAGGAATCCACTGACATCCTCAGGCAGCTTACTCTGCAGGAGTCATTGTGTTCTGATCATCCCCTCTTGGCTCCGCCCTTATAAGCTCAAATGGGAAGAAGTCCTGTGTCAACTCTCCCCATCTCCATCTGGCCCTGAAAGAAGCAACCAGGCTCCCACCTGCTTGATGGTCTCTCAGATCTGTTAGGTTAGGAAGCTCATTCTGGATGCTGATCGGAGAATGAATAGGAGAGAAACAAGAGCAGTAAGCAGGCAGTACTTGACTAGAATAGGTGGTGGCTACAGTGATTGTTACGGATTGAATTGTGCCCCCAATATATGTTGAAGTCCTAACCCCCATGCCCCAGTACTTCTGAACATGATCTCATTTGAAAATAGGGTTGTTGCAATGTAATTACTTAAGTAGACTGAGACCCTAACCCAATGCAACTGGCATCCTTATAAGAAGACAGCCATGTGAAAACAGACATGAAGGGCATACAGACACACAAAGGGAGAGATAGGTGTGATGCAATTGCAAGACAAGGAATGCCAGGGATTACGGGCAACCACCAGAAGGTAGGAAGAGGCAAGGAAGGATTCCCTATATGTTTCAGAGAGGACTTGGCCCTGCCGACACCTTGATTTCACACTTGCAGTTTCTACAACTGTAAGACAATGAATTTCTGTAGTCTTAAGTCCCTTCCCCCTAAAGTGTGGCACTGCTGTAACCTGCTGAAGATGGGATAGTTTGACATACAGTGGTGTGGAATGTAAGCACAGATGTGATCAGAGAGGGCCCTAGAGACCCTTTCCTCACCGTCCATCTTGCACACTCCTGGGCATTTATATAATTCCTACTGGTCCTCTGTGAAGACTTGACAGGCCTCTTCCTTCCTGCACCCTCCTCCACCCATGCCCACCTTGGGTATTCTCCCAACATCCCCAGTGATTCTATTACAACAGTCACAACAGCACACACTGAACTAGTAGTTTTTTTCTTTGGGTACATCTTGGATGAGGAATTCCTAGTAGAGAGGGAATGGATTCTATTCTTCTCTGTCTAATATGTACTGAATGAATGAATGGGTGAATAGCCATCCAACCCTGTCATCTTACAGATGAGAAAAGAGATGCAAACAGGTGAAGTGAGTGTCTAGATGAGCAGAGCCAGGCCTGTAGGGCAGTTTCTCCTGCCTCCAATCCAGGGCTCCTTCCCCTGTACTACTCTGAGGGCTGAACTTCTGTCTTCCTTCTCTTGAGGCAGAACCCCCCGTAGGAAAGGCTGCAGATGGCAGTGGTTTTTCAAAGATGGAAGCTGCTTTTCCGATGTTCAGTAGGGGAAAGTAAGTGCCATGACATGCTATATAGAGTTAGAGAAATTCTGAGAAGGGGACAATCACCAAGGAATGGGGTTGTGAGGGCAGACTTTGGGTCAGGCGTAGACTCAGAGGGAAGCAGCAGATCACGGTGGTCAAGAGCACACACTTCACAGCCTGTGTTTGAATCCTGGCTCTGGTCCTTTCTAGCTGTGAAACCTTGGGCAAATCATTTTACCCTCTGTGTCTCATCTGTAAAATCTATTTCAAAGGGTTATGATGAGGATTACATGAATTAATATATATAAAGCACTTAAAATGGTACCTGGCAGATAGTACTGCATATGTGTTAGCTGTTAATTTTCTTTGTATTATCATAACGAGGGATTTGACCCTATGGAGAGAGGAGGGTAGGTAGATATGAAAACCACAAATTATACTGAGCATCTTAACTATAAAAAGTTTAAATATGTATTCATATAGTGATCCAGAGAAAAGACTAGAAACAAATACATTAAAATGTGAACAATGATTATCTTTGGGTGATGGCTTTATGAGTTGTTGCTTTCTTATTTACCTTCTGTATTTTTCACTCTTTTTAGAATGATCATGCATTATTTTAAAATAATACTTGTAATTATTAAAGTTGAAACTCAAATTATAAGGCACTATCCATTTTTACTTGAGGAAAACTATTAATTTCACATTTGATTTACTTTAGTTTTGTCCTCTATAATGGAATGACACATTAACTGTCATAGTTTATAAAGTTATGTGTTTATTAGAAAATCTCAATGGATGTAGAAACATATGCAGAAGAAAAGCTAATTATACAGAGACAAGGATTCCTTATCAGCATTAAATTCCTCCTCTAAATAAAGTTGCTGAGCTAGACATTCAGAGAGGGACTATGGGGATTTGATCATTGCTTTCCTTCCTCCTGTGAGCCTATATTTTTGTCCCTTTTGTGAGTCCCAAGGTAAACACAAACACCAGGAAATGGTTTAATTCATTTAACTAAACTGTAAATCCTTCATATTTAATTTACTGTCTCCTTAAGCAACCATTTTCAACAAAGGATACTGACATAAAAAGTTCCTTCAGGAAATAGTAAACATCAGGGTAATTATTTCTAGGCAAATGAATACCAATCCCAAATGAAAATAGAAGAGACTAATTCAGTATGCCTTTGGATTTCTTCTTTCCCTTTGTCCAAATCCCTTAAATTTTACTACAGATATTGGCCCTTAAAAGCCAATAGCAACTTCAGCACTGGGTCCACAGTAATTCTATTTAACGATGTCAGAACTTCAAGGATTTGTGTCTATTCAAACACAATTAAATGTACATCATTTGTATGACAGTCCGTAGTGACATTATAAATCCACTGTGTTTGCAAATGAGCTTATAATTGTATTTACATACACAAACACACACACAATACTCTCTGGGCTTATTAATAGTATATTTCCTCTGCAGTGTGCTTCAAGGAAGGGCTGAGAATGAAATTGCCTGACATATTATAATACAAACATATTTTGTTTTGAAGGACCACAGATACAAGAAGAGGTCACGGTTCCATTAATATCACCAGTAAACCCACTTACTACTCCCATAGGACACATTTGTCTTTGTCACAAAATTAAAAATGACTTCTCAACCCAGCCAGCACTGCAGAGTGATTTCCTGAGACCAAATTGGCTGGTTGTTGAAATGGTGAGGAAGAGCTGCTCCAAAGACTGCCGGTGTACTGGCAGCTCAGACATACTGTCACCAGGGACTCATGCCAACACACAGCTAGGCATAGGTCATGCTGCCCTTACCTCTCTGAACTCTTAAGAGCTCAAAGCAGTGACAGGAAACTGGCAAAAAATATGAAGTTTTCTCACCTTATGGGAGTATCTGGGCTGTAACTTATCCTTCAGGACAACAAGTGGCCTCGGACACAGGGAAAGATCAAACAGAGACCCTTGCTCAGAATAGAATTATGTCTATTTTTTAAATGTTTTTTCCTCTTGAAATCTGTAATCATGCTGGCACATTAAGATGCACAGACATAGAGCCCTCAGTATGCCATCCTCATTCCACTCCATTTCTGACTGGAATCACTTAGGAATGCTTCTACTGGGTGCATAGCAAGTGAATGACCTCCAAAATTTTGGGAGCTTTTCTGACTTAAAGAGGGGCTTGAGTAAACATCTTGTTTTGTAGACATGTTCATTTTAATGATTTTTAAATAAACTTAGTCCTGACTTCCTTTCCCTTTAATTTCACTTTCCTTACCTCTAAATCAGTCATGTGGACTCCTAGTTATTTTAAAGGCAGATGTGATTTTCATTTATTAAGGATGTAGTGGAGAGGATAAGAAACTAATTAACCAATCCCAGGAAGAAGGTCTTAATCTAGACACAAGAATTTTCACATCATGCAGGTCTTCATGTTGTGGACCATACCTAATATTCAAGGAAAGTTTTTGATTGAGGAAATATTTCAGTGGAAATATGAGCAAAAAGACAAAAAGAGAAAGTTTTTCATTTGCTGTAAGTTTTTGATTTACACTGTCCACCAAAGCCTTTGACAATACCAAAGCTTTAGAGCAACCACAATAAAGCTGGAGTGGCAATACATCAGACAAAATAGGTAAAAATAAAGAGGGACATTTAACAGTAATAATAATAAGAGTCAATCCATTGGGAAGATATAACAATTATAAACATATAAGCACCTAACAACAGAGCACCAAAACATATGAAGCAAAAACTGACAGAATTGAATGGAGAAATATTTCAACAATAATAGATGAAGATTTTAGTACCTCACCTTC